TATACTCCTTCTGGAGGAAACTTGGCAATACTGAAGAAAAATCCTACTTCTAGAAATCTATCCAGAAGACATACCTCCAACAATAGGAGAAGGCTACGCACAAGACTATTTATTGCAGCATTCTCACAAAATGTTGCATAAGAGATAAAATATGGTATACAAATAAAGCATAAGCAATGCAGTACTTTAAATCAATGCAGGAGATCTGCATGTATTATCATGGATAAACCTTGAAAGTAATGCTTGGTGAAAAAGGTAACTTTTAGAATGATGTGTGTGGTTTGATACTGCATTTATACAGTATGATACCACACATCCAAAGGTTAAAAATATACAATACTATACACTGGGTATAAACATGCGTATATATGTTATTAAAATTATGAAAAATAGGGATGAGAAAATAACACACTGAAAGAGTAACAATTATTTATGAGGTGGAAAAGAAGGTGGGTTAAGCATTACAATATGGCAAAATATTGACATTTGCTAAATACAGGAAGTAAGTTATAAGGACATTTGTTATACCATTTTCCATATATTTGAACTAATTTATAGTTAAGAAAATTAAATGTAGTTTTATATGAAGGACTTCTAATTTGGCCATTTGGATGATAACTTATTGTTAAATTATACTTCGATGATTTCTGATGAGTAACAATTTAAAAATTCTAGAGTGCTTGGTGATTATCTACAACTTAACCATTATTGAGCATATGCTGCCACCTAGCAAAACTTTACCGAACAGTTTAACAACCAATCAGAAAATGATTCTCTTCTTATGGATGGACCCTGATTTTACTAATTTCAGTAAAAATTATTAAAAAGTACTACACACTCAATTATGAAAAAGGAGCCTTGCAACTTCAAAAGCACATTCAAACATAGTTCTGGACATTTTTATCTTTTACAATACGTGGAGGCAAATCATTTCGTTCTCTGGTACTTCAGTTTCTACCTTTGCTATCTTATAAGAAATGGAAAGCAATTTTCTAATGGGCTTCTAGGTAATTTGCTATCAAGAATAATGCTGGTGGGGCTGGCCCCGTGGCCGAGTGGTTGGGTTCGTGCGCTCCACTGCAGGCGGCCCAGTGTTTCGTTGGTTCGGGTCCTGGGCGCGGACATGGCACTGCTCATTAAGCCACGCTGAGGCGGCGTCCCGCATGCCACAGCTGGAGGGACCCACAGCAGAGAATATACAACTATGTACTGGGGGGCTTTGGGGAGAAAAAGGAAAAAATAAAATCTTAAAAAAAAAAAAATTTACAAAAAGAATAATGCTGGTATTACATGAAAGCACTTCGTCCTTCTATGAAATTAAAGAACCCAATCAAATTGTTCCACCTCCTAATTCTGATTTTATCACTGCTGCCCAAACAAAGAGGTGACTGGAGCAAACTCAGCTCTAGTTTTGCAAATTCTTTACTCACTAAATGCTATGGCACTTATTTTCAATTGTGCATCCTTTCTTTGGTTTTAATGGAAAAGGAGGAAAAAAGTCTACATTTAGGAGCTTTCCCCCTCTCATTGAACATTAGGTGACTCAAGCTGAGCTACGCATACTTTCATCTGCCCAACAAATATTTACTTATTATTACCTATAGACAAGGTACTATGCTAGTGGTTAGGGAAGTTGTTATAAGTGAGTTAAATCTTCTCACTTCAAAGTCCACATAAAGTACTGGTGATGATAAAACATGCTACAAATAATCATAAAATGAAGTAAAAAGTAATGGTTTATTAAAGAAAAAGGTAAAATTTTATATTACTTCAGAAGAATAAACAGATTTTAAGAACCTAGAGTCAGGAAGTGTTCTATAAATGTCAGCTTTTATCCTTGGGAAATTTTTGAAAAGAACAGAATTATTAAGGGTAGAAGACAGTGAGGTTAGCATAACAGATGCCTCTGCAGGCAGGCTTTTATATTCACAAAAGACATTTTGGGAAATGAAATATACTGTAAATTAGATAGCCACATAACTTTTTAAAAGAAAAAGCTATTGGGGCCAGCCAGTGGCGCAGCAGTTAAGTGTGCACATTCCGCTTCTCGGCTGCCCGGGGTTCACTGGTTTGGATTCCGGGTGCGGACATAGCACCGCTTGGCAAAAGCCATGCTATGGTAGGTATTCTATGTATAAAATAGAGGAAGATGGGCACGGTTGTTAGCTCAGGGCCAGTCTTCCTCAGCAAAAAGAGGAAGATTGGCAGTAGTTAGCTCAGGGCTAATCTTCCTCAAAAAAAAAAAGAAAAAGCTATAATTAAAAATTACACACAGATATGAGTACCAATATCCCAAAGATAATACCAGAAATTTATAAACGTTGTTGAATCTGATGAAACCTATGGACTCTTTTCCCCCCCGAGACAGACATACAATCACCAATTTATACATAATTTCAGGAAGTTATAGGACCTCTGAAATACGTTCCTGAATCTCAGTTAAGGAGAGCTAATTTAAGTTATTAAGGATGCTATTAATGTTATTAAGTTATTAATGATGCCTCAAGTTATTCACTCAACAGATAGGTACTGAGCATATGATAGTGAGCAAAAACGTACAGTTACGTGGATGGAATAAGAAATCTCTCACTCTCACATTCACATACACGCACACTAAGCAACTGTTACAACTGCTAAAAAGGAGAAGTAAATGGTGCTACAAGAGCATGTGCAAAGGATCTGTAGTGTGCTATGCTAGCTAGTGGAGGAAGGCCAGTGCAGCTGAAGTACAAAGACTGTGGGGGGAGTGGTACAACAGAAGGTGGAGACATTGGCCTTGTTTAGACTGGTCTTTACCAAAAGCAACAGAAAGCCACCAAAAAAGTTTTAAGCAACGGAGTCACGTGATTAGATTCATGTTTTGAAGACAGCATGCTCACTGCACTATGGAGATTAGAGGGAGAGAAGAGTCAAGGTGAGTAGTTGGGAGGCCAGTACAGTAGTTTCAGTAGGAGAGAGAACTTGGACTAGGAAAGGGGTAGTAATGGAAAGATCTGAAAGATAATAGTGAATTTGAACTCTTTTTCAGATAGATTTCTTCCTTGGAGAAGTCATTAATTAATTTATTTTACCAATTTTCTGAGATTGTTTCTCTTAATTTCCATGAGCTATGTTATAGTAATGACAGCCATTTATCTGTCATATCTGCTGTATTTTTTTCTGATTGGTTGTCCTTTCTTTCCTTTGGGTTGTTTTTTAATTTCTATGTAGACAAATCTATATTTGTTTTTCTCTTTGTAGTTTTTCTCCCCTTAATTTTAAATTAAAACATCTTCCATCATCTCCACTTTTCCCCCCACCTTCATATTAAAACATCTAAGATTTACTTTAGTGTGGGATATGAATACTTCCTAATTTGATAAATTCATTCAGTCACCCAACAAACATTTATGCAGCAAATATGTTGTAGGTGACAGACATTTACACAGAGAGAAACAGGTAAACAAGTGTTTCTAGAGCAGAAAGCATTCTGGTTGGACAAATAGACACCTAGCCCAGACTGAGGTGAATCAATGAAGACTTCCTAAAGCTCAACTTCTAAGTGTTTTGAGGAGGCCTGGAAATTAGCTAAGTGGAAAAAGAAAGAGCCTTGAATGAAGATGCCCTAATGTCATTTACTAGTCTCAAAGTAATTTCAAAATTGAACAGGTAGCTCACTAATAGTTCCAGTGAATTCCCCAATGCGTCACCAGCACAAGCTTAACCTATGTTTATGAATATAACCTAAACGCCTTCAGAGTTCCCCTCTTTATCTTGTACTCCACTGACAAGTGAAATCCAGACGTATTAACCTGGCAGTACAGCAGTAATAAATTTCAGTTTTATTTTCTACTTCATCCCATAAATTCTCATCAATGGAGAGGTATCTATCCCCACGGATCCAAGGGGTTTCCTACTACCATCTCTTCTCTGCTTATACCGGTCCCTTTATTTAGAATGCCTTCTTCCCTTCACTGAACCCCTGACTGCAATTCCTGTGTAAGATCCTTGAAGACCAAGAACAAATATCACTCACTTCATTTTGCCTTCTATGGAAACTTCTCTGCACTAGTTGCTTCCTGGGCATTATTCTGTATCCTAGATGGGTGTTGCTTACCGTTCCCTACCTGACTACATGTTGCTTGAAAATAAAAAGTCTCTCTTACACACCTGTGTAATATTAACAGTGACTTGCTCATAGCAGATACATATCCACTGAATAAAGAGGATAAAGAACTTCCTTTGCTGTAGCTGTGAGGTCCTCATTTGATCCTTGCTTTTCCAGATTACTTTAAGTTTTCAGATGATTTATGACTTCCTTGAATAGAAGCAGAAACTGGACATGGGATATTGGCAGAAATGGTAGCCTGGCGACACCGACATGTTATGGTGGAGGTGATGAAGGCAAAGACCTGATTTACGACCGGAATCAGAGAGAACGAGAGATGGGAACTGGGAACAAGTATAAACAGCTCTTTCTTAAAGTTCTGCTGTAAATGGAAGGGGAGAAATGGGACAGAAGCTGAAGGAATAAGGTACATCCTTATAAACGATACGGTCTCATTCAAGATGAACAATCTCTTAGGAGAAGCTACAGCTCTCAAGCCCTCCCCTTCACTTTCAGCACTCAACAAAAGGCAAACAGGGAGTAAGGAGAGTTTATTAATTGTCGGGCACTGTGCAAACAGTTGATAAATGCCAGTTAATTTAATTTTCATAACAATCTTGTGAGGAAGGTACTACCATGAGCTTCGTTTTACATACGACGACAGTAAACAAAGAGATTAAATGATCTTTGCGAAGTCCCACTGATAAAAATTCACGAGGCCTGAGGCCAGAGACGGGTCTCTTGCTCGCCGCGCTCCGAGTCCCGGGAAGACAGCCCGGGCCCATCAAAAAGCTCCTTCCGCCGCACTCCCCGTCCTCGCCCCCGGCAGGACCACGCGCCCAGCAGAGACGCAGAAAAGCCGTTCCGACGGCCCTAAAAGGCACCCCACAGTTTCCCAGACCTCGCCGCTCACCTCGTTATTGAGGTTCAGGGTCCCGGCCTGAGCCATGGCAGGTCTAGGAAGAGGATCCGCAACTGCCGGCACGTGAGCTGCGTCCTCCAGATCGCGGCTGCGTCGCCACTCCCTTCTACGGCAGCCTCTTCGACCCAAAACCCTCCCGCCGTGCGCGCCACACCGGCTCTCCGAGGGGAAGAACGGAACTGAGGGGAAAACTTCCGGAGCAGAGTGCGATGCGCCGGAATCGCGCGTTCCTATGGAAACCAGACACCGGCGGGTGCTCCACAGGGCGCTCTGCAAGCTGTTGCCACGTTTAAAAGTTTTTCAGGATGCTGACGTTATTATATTCTTCTGCAGACGAGGCCTGGCTTTGTAAGGACCTTGGTTTTTGTGTCCCGGGTGGATGGGAGGCGTGTGAAAAAGCTTTTAAGTAGGATCACTTGGGTGACCAATTTTTGACCCGAATTTTTAACGTAGTGTTTGTAAAGATTCCGCCGCTTCTAACAAGCACGCCTTATTAGATACAGTTTTTTGTTCCAGCTCACCTTATAGCTGGACGTGGACATATTTTTATGACCCCGTAAAAAGGTTTAAATTTAGCTAATGAACGTTTAAAGCAAAACGAGGATGCTCATTTGCTGCTGCCTGTGTGAAGGGCTGTTTTGAAGTATTAACCTGCAGGTGAAGGAGACTTGAGGGAATGAGTCTGAATTAGATAATATATTAATTAATCATTAACACCTGGTAGTACTGAGCGTTAAAATGGGTCAAGTTCTGGGGCAAACGCTTTGCATGAATTATCTCCAAAATATTCACAGAAATCCAATGAGATAGAAATTATTATACTTATTTTATAGAGGTGGAAGCTGACTTTCTAGGAGCCAAGTGTCTTACCCAGAGTTTCCCAGCAGAGGGCGACCCTTGCTACAGGACTCCAGGGCTGGTTACATAATCCCGGGGTAGGGGGCAGTGCGAAATGAAAATGCAGGACCCCTCATTCAAAAAGTAGGAAAAAGTTTCGTCTTTTCTTCCATGGTGTCTCTTTACCTGTCATGTGTTTTTAATTTGGCATTTAGTGTGATGCTCCCTCAAGCACATGGGTGCTGGTGGGACTATGCAGACCCTGACAGGTGCTTGGGACTCAGGGAGGGGTGCATGTGCTGGAACAATACGACAGCAGTTGCTGGGCAGTGGCAAGAAAGTGGGGAACCAGGGGAACCTGTCTGAGAGGATGTGGGAGGCAGGACCACACATGACCTGTGACTTAGCTCTTGGCATATGTTTCATTGTCCTACTGGGCTTCACTTACAAAACTCAAGTTCATAGATAAAATTATTAAGAATTTCAAGACTGTGATAAAAGACCATTTAAGCCAGGCCCACTTCTGAGCCTCTGTGCAAGAAGATGGCTCTGTCCAGAGCCCATGCTATTAACTTGCAATTCTGTACTCCACTTACAGTAACTCAGACTTGTATTTGGATTGGTATTCTTTTAGTTTAACGTGTGATTTGGGCACAAACAGATTAACGGCTGACTTCCTATTTGACTAGTGTTGCATAAAGGTAGTTTTGCCGTTAATAAATCACATGCTGTAATCTTCTCCTCGTTTAAGCTGAGCTCTTGGAATATGGGAGCTTTTTCAACCCAGGTGGGTAGTAGGCACTCCACACATAAATACATAGGAAAAGACATCTTAAAGATAAATGTAGAGCTTTATGGAAAATGTGTCTTCTAATTTTAAAGAAAAGTGTTGTTATGGTTCATAATGCTTCAGAAGATATATTCTTAATATGAAGTTTGTCTGTAGCTCTTTAAAGACGTTAGTGTTTTCTCTTCACCATCCCTCTTGTCCTCCAATATCTCATTTATCTAGCCACCACAGTTTCCTTAGGCTGAGCATTTGTTTTCTACCTTTTCTTGGCCCAAGCTCCCTCCTTTGCCTATGATGCTTCCCCTGCCAGATCCGCTTTCTTCAGTGCTACCCTTCAAGACCAGGTCAAATTCCATCCATTCTTTTTAAGAATCCTTTCCATAGTCCCCAACAGAAGTTAATTATTCTCAGCAGCAGTTCATTCTTATATTATTTACAGTAGTCTACTTTAATTTGGAATTTATTGTGTACCCTCTGTTCTTTTACACTATAAGCTCTCAGCAACCTTAGATGTTTATTTTTAAATCAACTGGCAGTTTTTCATTGTCCTTGATATATCATGAACATGTCAATTCATCTCCCCTTTTTGATGCTAAAATCTCAAAAATTATTTTGATTCTTTACAGAGACGATTGTACTAACCTGCTCTCATTAAGTAACACACAGTTCTCCTGGTAATAATGCTGTATGTGTGTTAATCAGCTACCACTTTCTCTAGAAAGCAACACTTTCTCCTTTTATTCCTGAAGGGCTGATCTTCATCATTTAAATGCTGTCAGATATGTGAAACAACAAAACTATTATCATTAAAAGCAACTAGTTTGAGACCTTTTTCTTCTTTATTATAGTGTTCCAATTAGTGGAAGTAAGGATCCACAAGTGTGTACAATGGGACTCAAGTTTTCCAATTTCAAGTTTCTCAAATCCCACTGGTTATTCATCTGCTCAGGCTGCCATAACAAAATACTACAGATTTGGTGGATTAAACATCAGAAATTTATTTTCTTACAGTTCTAGAAGCTAGAAATCCAAGATCAAGGTGCCCTCAGGGTTGTTTCTGGTGAGGGTTCTCTTTCTGGCTTGCAGACGCAGCCTTCTTGTTGTGTCCTCACATGGCCTTTCCAATATGCACACCTAGAGAGAGACTTCTCTGGTCTCTCTTCCTATTCTTATAAGGATACCAATTGTATTGGGTTAGAGCTCAACTCTTGTGACCTTATTATATCTTAATTACCTCCCTAAAGACTTTATCTCCAAATACCATCATGTTGAGGGTGAGAGCTTCAATATATGGATTTTGGAGGAACAGAATTCAGTCTATAATACCTCTTTTCTTTGAGAAAAGAAAATTACCTCAAAAGTAATCTTTTCCTATATAACATGCCTGATGATTGTCATTTCTATCATTTTGCACTTTCAAAAATTGTAGTCATACGTTTCTAGATTACAACTAAACTCATGGATGTTTAGCAGTCAGAATAGAATTGAGAAATAGACCTATACATATGGACAACTAATTTTCAACAAAGTTTCAAAGCCAATTCAGTGAGGGAAGAGCAGTCTTTTCAAAAATTGTGTTGAGGGGCCAGCCCAGTAGTGTAGTGGTTAAGTTTGCACACTCCACTTTGGCGGCCTCAAGTTCGAGGGTTTGGATCCCAGGCACTGATGTAGCACTGCTCATCAAACCATGCTGTGGTGGCATCTGACGTAAAATAGAGGAAGATTGGCACAGATGTTAGCTCAGGGCCAATCTTCATGACACACACACACACACACAAAACTGTGCTGAAATAATTGGATATCCATATGAAAAAAAATTGACCCATATCTCACACCAAATACAAAAACAACTTGAAATGTATCATACACCTAAATGTAAAACTTGAAACTTCCAGGGGGCTGGCCTGGTTGTGTAGTGGTTAAGTTCACGTGCTCTGCTTCGGTGGCCCAGGGTTAGCCAGTTCAGATCCTGGGCACGGACCTATGCACCCCTTATCAAGCTATCTTGATTTTACTGATGGTATCACATTGTATACATATGTCAAAACATATCAAACTGTACACTTTAATTATGTGAAGTTTATTGTGTGTCAATTATACCTTAATAAAGCTGTTAAATAAATACACTTGCCATTGAAGTAACAATTCTACTTCTAGAAAAATATGTACAGTTATATTGGTACAAATTAATGTTGCATATACAAGGATATTCATTATTAACTGCTTGTAATAACAAAAGATTTGAGGCAACCTGCCAATCAACACATAACTAATTAAGTTAATAGGTCCATTAAGAAGAATAATCAGCTCTTTATTTATGGAATGGAAGGTTCTTTATAATATATTGTTTAATGAGTAAAGCAAGTGGCATTACACTATGGGATGCTATTATTTGTGTGTGTTTGGAGGAATGATATGTAGATACACACATTACATTTATTTGATTGTATAACATCTTTGTTCCCCGGAGGGGAAGTCAGTGGCTAAGGAACATAGGTAAAGTCTTTCTACCATGTACTTTTTTGTATCTGTTAAATTTTGTACTACGTGCTAGTATAAACTTTTAAAACAAGTAAAATTTAAAATATATTCTAATGGTTCTGTTGCAATTTTGAATGGTATATGTTCTCTCATTTTTGCCTATATTGGCTGGTAGTGCCAGTATAGAGATGAGCTATGAATTTTTTTTTTTTGGTATATTTGTTATGCCATCCTTATCTAAGTGTTTTTTTCTTTTTGAGGGAGGAGAATTTTCTAGGTATACAATCATATTATCAGAAAGAATTACATCTATTTTCAGTGTACTAATTATTTTATTTTATTATTAAATTTTCTAGAACTTCTGAAATAATGATAAGTAGTAACAGTCATAGTGAGTATCCTTGGCTAGTTCCTGATTTTAATGGGAATGGCTTTAACATTCAACCATTTGAAATGATATTTGGTGTTTGTTATGGTGAATAGTTTAATAAAATTCAAGTAGTTTTATTCTATTTTTCTAGCCATTACTTTATGAGTAGAAATGGTTGTTGAATTTTATCATTTGCCCTTTCAATTTCTGTTGCTTTGATATATTGTTTTCCACTTTAAACATTTTCCCCACCTAGGTTCTAGTTTTATTGTAGCTGTTAGAAAGTTATGGACTCTAGCCTTAGGCCCACCTGTCTGAGGACCCCAACAGTAGGCCCAGTTGTCTATGGACTCCACCAGCTGTTCTACCCACAGACCCCACCAGCCATCCTGCCTGTGGATGCTGCAAATTGGCCTACCCAGAATCTATGGCTAGGCTGACTGGTGAATGACTTTCCATGCTGAAGCGAGTCTATAAAGTCTACCGGAGGTGACTGCCTCTTCAAATGTGCAGATGAAAAGGCATGGCTACTAGGATCATGAAAAATCAGGGGGACATGACACTATCAAAGGAATAAAATAAAGCTTGAGTAACTGACCCTAAAGAATTGGAAATCTATGACCTGCCTGACAAAGAATTCAAAATAATCATCTTGAAGAAGCTCAGTGAGCTAAGAGAGAATAGAGCTACAAAAGCAAATGAAATCAGGAAAACAATACATGAACAAAATGAGAAATTCAACGTCTTTTCATGATAAAAACTCTCAACAAATTGGGTATAGAAGGAATGTACCTCAACATAACAAAGGCCATATATGACAAGCTCACAGCTCACATCATACTCAATGGTGAAATGTTGAAAGCTTTTCCT